ATACAAAGAGATATCACTCACTCAATTTCACTTTCCACTATGTCCACTGTTGTTTTTCACAACCAATGGCAGAACTTTATTGAGGCCTGTAATTAGTCAACTACAGGTCTCTTGAGTCAGTCTTTTTCTTCCAAAAAGCTTGTGACAAGATGTTATTGCTCTTGGGGCATTAAAAACAAGATTTTAACTTTAATTTTTTATATAATATCTGCATTTTCTATTGTGAAAAACTAAGTCTTAGTTATTTAATATATAGCGCCATCTCCTGGTTAAACCCTGAAATTGGAGAATAGTGGGAGGGCCTAACATTCCTGAATACTGGTCTTTGGCAGGCAACTGGCTGGCAGTCGGCAGGAAGCTGTATGCTGGGGTCCAAAATAAGAGGCTCCATCTGTATATACAGTCTTTAATTAACTATTAGTAGAGAATAACGACGAGTAAAGAATATACTTTATAGGGATCCTATTAATATCTATGGAGGAGTGGATTGAGGAGTGCCTATCTCCAGAAAAAAAAGCACCTAAACGAAGACATGCAGAGCTACGTGAAGAGCAGGTAGACCAACTGGAAAAGTACCACCATTCAAAAGCTTTCTTTCTTGAAACAAAGCAGAGAAATGATGACCGTTAGTGGCCACAGGTGCGAAAGCTCTCTCCAGAGCTACTGGAAGCCGAATCTCGGGGACCGGAGAAAGTGGAGCAATATTCTCGCCACGCCAAGCAACAGCCTAGAACAACCTCAACCTATACAAGTAACCACGTAAGCCATTCTACTGATGCTGGACAGGTTTTCAGTGGGTGCACAATAAACGGCAACATACAAATCAATGTAAATAAATAGCCGAATAATGGATCAACGCTCTCTGTCTAACAGTGACGTGCGGTGAGGTTCATGGCTGGTCAGATTTACAAATATTATAGCCTATTTTGACCTTAATCGAAATATTCTGTTATTTTCAAAAGCTTTTTTAGTCTGCTGCTATGATTAATTTTAAACAGACCGTTCAACAAAAGGATACCCAAAATCTAAATATTGGATTGTTCTTTCTAAGTAAGATCCCATTTTCATTACAGTTGTGGTCTTACCTTGACTTGAAGATGAATATAAGTCCATGCTATCCTTCTGGACAACAATCTCTATTACTGTTTTGTAAAAGTCCTCCTTATCTTCCTGTAGTTTCAAAAGTCTAGTTTGTTGTTTGCGGTAGAATAACAGTAGCAACAAGAACCTGTGGGCTCACGTGCGCCCCCTTCAGTGCGGCAGAGGTTATGGCTGCCTCTCCTGGTGCTTTTTTCATTGCCGTTGTACGATGAGACCAGCGAGCCTAAATATCATATATACGTGAAATAAGTTATTTAGAGACTATGGATGGCGAGGATAAATGTAAGAAAGGGATCTACAAACATTACATTGGTGACCTACAGTGAGATGGGAACAGGCATGCGCTTAGGGCCCGCTTTCCAGCCAGTTTCTGTGGGGTGACGCATTCTGAAGTGAGGCAGAGCTGATCTGTGCCTCACCTCACCCCACAGTAAATGGCTTGAGCGCGCTCACAAAATAAGTGGCCGTGCTAAATTAGTGCCCGCGCTCCAGCAAGTTACTGTGGGCTTACGTGAGGCAGTGCTCGTACCTGCCTCACTTCTCATCGCTCCCGTAGTGGAGCTCGGCAAATTTGCTGATTTTGACTATAAAATGCGATTGGAATCATACAGAAATCACATTTACACAAGATCAGTGGAGACATTTTATTATTATTATTATTTAGTTTTTCTTTAATTGTTTTTCCGTTACATTGGAGTATGACAGGTGAGGCTCTGCCTCCCCTGCCTCCACTGACTGCACGTCGCTGCTGTCTAATATGCTCGCTAGCTGTTAGTGTTGTTGCATAGCAACCACCTCGCACTATGTTTCGTGCAGAAGGCAACGGAGGGACAATTTTATTTTGAACATCATTATTTACTAATAAAAACTATTTAAATTAGAGTGTGTATTTTTCTTTCATATTGCCACACTTGGTAATCGTTTTATAAATGGTTACCAAGGGGGGGTTGTCGGGCTTCGCGTCAGGCCGAACCACGCCCCTTAGCTGTGATATAATGAGCATATACCACAGCCTGTCGCGAGCTATTGCTTAAATATATTTATATATATATATATATATATATATATATATATATATATATATATATATATATATATATATATATATATATATATATATATATATATATATATATATATATATATATATATATATATGTGTGTGTGTATACATTTGCATCTGCCTGTTATTGTCTCATTAGACCGCTCAGAGGAGAGGATTTCTCATTCCTCTAAACGCCTGCTGCTTCCCCTCCTCGACTCCTCTGCTCGCATCTCCTGTGGGCGGGACTAAGACGCGAGGATAGGAGTCGAGGAGGGGAGTCGAGGAGGGGAATTAGAGAAATCAGAAAGGTCTAATGACTGAATATTGAGGCCTGATCCGCTTCTATCTTATTTACATAAAAATGGTCGCACCATGAATAAGATTGTTTCTCCAGACTTGATTAAAGCACTGATGTTTTCTAGAAAAAGACAAAACAACAATGTATGGCAGCACATTTATTCACTGGTGACAACAGAGTAAAACATGACATTGCTTATAGATAGAAATACAGATAGATTAAAGGTGGGGTAGGTAAGTTTGAGAAACCGGCTCGAGATACACTTTTTGTTATATTCCATGGAATGCTCTTAACATCCCGATAGCAATGAATATTTTAAGTGCTTTGACAAAAAATCCATAAAAAAATGTCATCTGTGGAAGCCGTAGTACTGTAAAAAGCACAACCAATCATTTTAGCCGGCCCGGCTAAAGTAATTGGATGGCCTACCTGCCTGTCAGCCTTCCATCTGTGCACAAACTTATCTCGTGCCCTCATTGGTCATGTGCACATTCGTGTGTGTTGGAGGAGGGGCTCTGTAAGGAAGTGGGAGATTTTTTACGGCTGTGTATTTTCAAATTCTAGCGCACTCGAGCTGGTTTCTCCGAAATGACCTACCCCACCTTTAAATGATCCGTCATCTGGGCAACTAAACAAATTATACATCAGAATACTTAATGAAACAGACTCTGGAACATTGTATTGAGAACAAGTGATGCAGCGCCCTCTGTTGGCCGTTAGAAGCAATAAAATAAAATAGCAGAGTCCTTGCACTAATCTGCAGAGTTTAAGCGTTGCATCTCTAATACAAAAGAGTTTAACCATCCAGACTGATACAAACAATATAAATATGTCAAGGAAATAAAAAATTGCATTTATTTTGCAAGCCCTATAGAAATTATAAAGTCAAACTAAAGCTACATTGATTTTTAAATAATCCACATTATATATGAGTTAATTTAAATGTCTGTCTTATTGTGTGTATTGAGTTTATGCAAAGTTTATGTAATTAATGTTATTTTTTTCCTTTTTCGTTTGCCAAGGTAAGATCTCTTTAAATGTTTGGAATGGAATTTGTATTTATTTGTATTTTTGTATTTAAGTACGATAATCCATAGTTTTACATTTATAGGCCTGTAAATGTATTTCATTTTTCTTCAATCAAAGAGTTACCAGTAACTTTCTTAGTATGACTGGCCCCAAGCCTGTTTTTCAGGTCTCAGGCTCGAAAATGACATTTCCAGAACAAATGACCATAACTAGACTTCTAAAAGGGGAACATTAATAATCTTTTTTCTCAAAGCAATGATAAACCTGTGAGTTGGATGTAGAAGAGTCAGAATCAATATAGATTTTTCTCAGTCAGAATAAATTCAGATGGAACATGGTAAAAAAAGGTAAATTCTTACCTCCGCCTAAAAAAAAACATTACTTATAGTGAAAACCACCCTTGAATGATGGGATGGTAGACTAAAAGTTTTAGGAATCCAAAGTAAAACATATAATAGGTACCCTGTATCGAGATTGATGCAAAACAAGTGACATTTGACCTTTTTAGCCAGGTTTAGAAAAAAAACCCACCTCTGGGGTGATTTGGGTGTAAATGGGCGTTTTTACAGTTTCTCTGGAACCCATTGGTCGATTTTGGTGATTGTAATCTCTTCCTGACCGTTAGAGCCAATAGAATCGAAGGGGGGTCTTCACATAGACACCAACATTAACACAAAAAGGTGGGGGCTTTGCGCATGCAGGCTTGCATCAGAGTGAAGCGATCTCTCGCTCTGACATCTCGAAACGGAAAATAAGTTTTATTGCTTATGGATTATCAGAAATCATTTCAAAGGGACACAGACACATTGGATTAACCTCTGGATTAACTGCAGCATCGTTTTTTATCGTTTTAATGCCATTGAAGACCAATTTTGACCAGAGAAAGACCAAGGTAAGCCATGTTAGCGTTTGTAGCTACCTAGCGCCACATGTTTTGATGTACGTTTTCGTTTATAGAGTCGAAAGTTTTTATCATGGAGTGTTGAGGTGGGCACCCATCGATTCTGTGTCTCTTTACGATCATAATCGATATGTTGGATGTGCATCTAGGATAAGTAATAAGGGAGTTATGAGTGAGTTTAGGTGCAGTGATAGGTTAGTATTTTTTCGCTCGTGGCTAATTCAGAGGCTGAGTGTTAGCATTGTGGGTTATTTTTTGGAAAAAAATAAAAAAGATCAGTTAGCTGAGTTTCTTCCCGTTACATGGATATAAAACATTCATAGTTTATTAAATGAGCATGCCCTCAGACACTGTTTCTTGCAAGATGTTGCAGCAGTGCCCCGGTACCGGGGTCTCTCGGGCTTAACAGGTTAAGAGGTTATTAAACAGAGAGAGATAAAGCCTTCTGCTGGCAGATCCATTGTTGTGGTTTATCACAGCTCACTGATGACCATATGTCTCTGCCCTTGTAAAACACTGCACAGTGACCGTCAACAGGAGCTGGTAACCAGGAGCTGAGGAGAGAACATGATGTTTAGACAAAGGCTGGTAGATGTTATTATTCAAAGTGTTTAGTAATGTGTCTCTTACCTATCAATCAGATCACTTCCATCCACCCACTTCCATTTCTTATTTACAACTCTCAGACCAATCCAGTATCCATTGAATCCAAAGCTGTACATATTGATTGCTTCCTGGAAAACAGAGAGAGAGTTGTCAGATATTTAAACATTAAACTGTAATAAACACATACAGTAATGACCTAAAGACCCAAAGACCCAAAGTGTTTTCCAACCTAAACAAAACACATTTACTTTCTTAATTGCGTCATATTAATGGGTTTACCTTTTCCTCCAAATTATGTGCAACAGCCAAATCTGAATTCTTTCCTTTGCAGTCTTCTTGAGCTTCTTCCCAGGTTATCCAACCAGGATAAGGAAGGTAATTGCTCGCATAGCAGCTGGACTGAGTGAGATCCCAGCCCTTCTGACAAGGTTGACACTTTTCATCTGAAACAACAGAGTCCAAACAATCAACAACATGACTACAGTAGGAACATATTGTAATTATGACCTAATATATAGGATCTGAACATACCGGTGTTTCCTAAGCAGTAGGAATCGATGCTCCACTGGGCTTGACTGATGTTGAGCTCATTCGAGGTTGTCTCCATGTTTTGTATTTGCTGTGTCAAGTTGTTCTTCTCGGTCTCCAGCTCCTGGATTCGTGTTTTCAGCTCCTGGACTTCTGCAGACAGGTCTTTCACGTTGCTTTCTGAGACAGTAAAGGCTTGTGTCAGGTTACCCAACTGGTGCGTGAGATTCTTCCGTGTCTCCAGTTCCTGGATTCTTGATGTCAGGTTAAGGATTTCTGCAGTCTGCTTGGCGTTGTCTTCCGAAAGTTCAGAGGTAACTACAGAGACAGAGGAAGGTGTTGGGCTGTAAGGCTTGTGTCTCTGAGTGATTAATGATCATAATAGACATTAAAGAACAGGTTCATATGTTTTATCTTTCTTAAAACAATAGTCAGACGCACATATAAACATGTGAACGGAGCAGCACTGATGGTCTAAGATTGTTAAATCAAGTGTTTATCTTCTAAAGTTATAAAAAAAAACCTCTTCTGAAATACATCTTTGCACAGGGCCAGTGTTAACAGGAGGCAGGATTACACCTCCCTTACGCAAAGAAAATATATTTCCCCATATATTAACTGTCAATATATTGCATTATTTTGTTTTCTGATTTACTGGTTAATTGAAAAGATTTAATAAAGGAAATCTTGCTGTTGGCTACACCAAGTGATACTGATTAATAATCAACATGAAAAACATATTTATTCATATCTACAAAATATATTGAAAATATATTGAAGATATATAGAATAATATATTGTGTTAATATATTACAATATATATATATTGAATAATATATTGTGATAATATATTGTAATATATGGGATAATACATCAGTAATTGCCGCTTTCCATATATTGAGTAATATATGTAAATATATATAATATATTGGTTGTGTATATATGTGAACATACATTTTACTATATATTAACATTTATATGGGGACATGTACTATATATATGCACAAATATATGGGGATATGTATGTACTATATATTCAGATTTATATGGGGACATGTATGCAGAATATATTCACAATTATATGGGGACATGTACTATATATATATTCACAATTATATGGGGATATGTATGCGCTATATATTCACAATTATATGGGGACATGTATGCACTATATATATTCAGATTTATAAAAGACCATGTACGTACCATATATTCTGAACATGAGTGCAATATATGTTCACAATGAGGAGAAATGCATGTTCTGATAAAAAAAATCTTTCATTTCATTTCAAACCTTTATTTATGCAGGTGAATCCCATTGAGATCATTGATCTCTTTTTCAAGGGTGACCTACTGCAAGTAGGTTCCACATGAAGACATATAAACATAACAGAAAAACAAAAAAGGACATCATACAGCATATTTACAGTGACTACAGTTTACATAGCTAGTAACATTTACAGGTTCCAACAGTTTCCGATTGGATAGTATCTATCCTTGCTTTAAAAACATTTAGCGGAACCAAATTGCTCAGACTGTTCCAAGTTAGCGGAGCTGCGCATCTAAATGCTATCTTCCCTAAGACAGTCCTAGCAGTTGGCACATTTAATAAAACCACAGCATTCGATCTCAGGCAGTAGCCACTTACAATTCGCCGTGAGATCAGGGAGCAGATGTAGGAAGGAAGTTTCCCTAACATGGCTTTGTATATAAAAATGTACCAGTGACTGAGCCTCCGTACAGTTAGTGAAGGCAAACCTGCCCTTGCATACAGGGTACAGTGATGGGTTAATACTTTACAGTTTGTCACAAATCTCAGTGCACTGTGATAGGCGGCATCTAACTTGACCAGGCAATTGGCAGGTGCATTCATATAGATCAGATCACCATAGTCCAGTACAGGTAAAAAGGTCACAGTGACTAGCCTTTTCCTGGCCTCAAGTGAGAAACAGGACTTGTTCCTGGAAAAGAAACCTAGCCTAACCCTCAGTTTTTTAAGCAGGTTATTGACATGAAGTTTAAAAGTGAGACAATCATCAAGCCAGATACCAAGGTATTTGTAACAGGTAACCACTTCAAGTTTTATTCCTTGTGTAATTAAAATATCTAAAACAGGCTCTGGTGTCTTTTTAGCTTTTGAAAAGAGCATTACCTTGGTTTTATCAACATTTAAAAGAAGCTTAAGCGCTGAGAGCTGAGTCTGAATAATGAGAAGCTTAATTTGTTTTTTTCTATCAATGTGTAACAGTTATCAAAATACTCATTAAAAGAAGGACAAGGAACGAATAAAAGAAAAGGCCTATAAACAACACATTATGTAATGACTCAAGAACATTTTCATGTAATTATGTAATAAAACCCACATTTTGTAATAATCTGCTGCATTCTGTAACAGCCTGAACGCAATATAAAATAAATGTCCCTGCATTTTGTAATAAATTATTACATTTTGCAATGGTTATTACAAAATGCGTGAGTTGCCCTTTTAAAAAACTGTAATATTCATTATGTAACCATAACCAAACTGTAAATATATCCCAAAATTGATGTTGATATACATGTTGGCTAATGAATATGGTAACACTTGATCTAGTTTTGGCCAATGATATTCTACTGAAGTATTTTTAAATTATGAGTAAGGATGATTCATGGTTGAATAAATAAATAAACAGTTGTAATGTTATTGTTTGCAACTCATTTTGTAATAACCACAGCAATATGTAATAATATATTTCAAAATGTGGCGACATGTATTACATATTTGCATTGAACTTGTTTACTACATAATGGGCAAATTATTACAAAAGGAGGTGTTATTACATAATGAAGGGAAAATGTATTACATTTTGTATAGGTATAGTTAATAAATGATGCATTGTTATTTCATACAGGGCCAAAAAGAGCAGTCTGTTATCCTATTTAACAATCTTGTTTTTTGTTTCACCTGGTGACAACTTTAAACATGAGCTGATCACTCATTAAAACAATGTCCGGAACAGGGCAAAAAAAACAGTCTTATACCCTATTTGATCGTCAATCTTGTTTTTTTCGTGCCTTTACTCACAAATTATTGTGTTAATGGATGTTCTTATATCTGATGTCTTGGTCCCTGGATGGTAGTTTACTACAGCATCTGTGGAACAGAACAATTACAAATAATTAGAAGTTCACAAAAGACAGCAGGAATTATAACAATATCCATAATATCTATATTAAAGCATGGGCTGGCTTGGTGAATAATGTGGGAATACAAATAGTGGAAGAATAGGCTTTGTACATTTTCGTCTGAGTGTGGCGCTACTGGTTGGTATATTTTATGGAATTTGGACCAAGCATCTGCATCTGTAACAGTTCTGTTTAAAACTTTTTTAAATGTAATTGCATTCATCTTTAAAGGTGGGGTAGGTAAGTTTGAGAAACCGGCTCGAGATACACTTTGTGTTATATTCCATGGAATGCTCTTAACATCCCGATAGCAATGAATATCTGAAGTGCTTTGACAAAAAATCCATAAAAAAATATCATCTGTGGAAGCCGTGGTACTGTAAAAAGCACATCCAATCATTTTAGCCGGCCCGGCTAAAATAACTGGATGGCCTACCTGCCTGTCAGCCTTCCATCTGTGCACAAACTTATCTCGTGCCCTCATTGGTCATGTGCGCGTTCGTGTGTGTTGGAGGAGGGGCTCTGTGAGGAAGTGGCGGATTTTTTCCGGCTGTGTATTTTCAAATTCTAGCGCACTCGAGCTGGTTTCTCCAAAATTACCTACCCCACCTTTAAAAGACTACTTTTATTGAATGAGAGTTTTACCTAGCACAATGAGCCTGGGGTGGTGGGAAGGGAGAACTGGGCCTCGGCATCGGCATCGGCAGGAGTGGTAGTCGCCTATGAGTATTAGAATTTAGATGAACAAAGGCATAGAAAAACCCTGAAATATGTACTGACACAAAGCTACAACCCTCGATTTTGTAAGTAGTAGTAGTAAATACATACGTATATACAATATACAACAATACGCATAATGCAATTAGCAGTACCAGTAATAAAATGACTGAATAAATAGTAGTAGAACCTTTATTTAGCCAGGAAAATCAATTAAGAACAAATTCTTATTACAATGATCACCTGACAGGAGGCAAAAGGCGTCCTGAGGGGATGGGGTTTGGGAGGAAAAAAATAAAAAGACAGACTCCGGGCACTACAGAACCCAGGAGACAACACAATGACACAGAGCAGAGATGACAGGCATAGCAGTTAAACATATAAAATCTCTAAAACAATATTGCTGTGGTTCAATCTGTCATTAAAATAATATAGAACATTCATCCAGCTTCATGGCAAGGATAACTAAGCTGAATAGTGAATAAAGTGATATGTGAAAAGTAAAATGACAGTGAAATTAAATGACAGTGCGTTCCTTACCACTGCGATCTGGCTCCTCTGTCCTCGTATATTTTGGGTCTGATTCCTCACTACTGATGTCTGCCTCTGCATGGGCCCTCTCTCCTTATTTATTCTGTCTCAGTCACCACTGCTATCTGGCTCCTCTGTCCTCTTGACTTGTGGTTCTGCAGGCTTAGTTCGACCTATGAATTTCAACAATGCTCCTGTAAAATATATAGATATATAGTATTATGGGTCAACATTAAAATAACATACACTGGAGAGCAAAATGTGAAATGCCATTGACTGTAGGCTACATATTATCCACACAATTGTCAGCAGGGGCAATAACAACTAAAATGTGAACTAACTTGAATGCATTAGTCCACAACACATAGCCTAACGTAGAGTAGAGAATGAATGAATGGTTTCTGCAAAATACACAGAAATAGAAATAAGGTTCAAATTACAATAACTAACCAGACGATGGTTATTAATAATAAGCAACAGCAATACTAATTGTTGCTAAAACACATTAGACACGTTGCAAACACACGGCTAATAAAAGCTAAGTTAGCATCTCATCCACACACTATCATAGCTTAACTTAGCTAACTAGCTAGCATTAGCTCAATTCCTGAACAACATAGAAACTAAAAACGGGACATCAAGACTCATTAACACACTGACTGAGCAGGACACTATGCATACAATCTTATAACATTACCAACACTAAAGATCTGCATATATGCTCACATTCTTCACGAACGCATTCTCTCTGTGACGATGGTAATTATGCATGTGACGATGCGCAATAATGTCCTGAACGCACATGTGTAACCAGCTCGAAGACCCGTAGCTGAACTACTTTAGCTGTCCCTAAATGTGCCTGACTAAAACACGAACGATATAATGCAGATCAAGGAGAACAAGGGGAATTTACAAGACATAGACTAACTGTGGTTACATTACTTAACTAGCTCATCGTCGTCACCAGTCAGAAAATGTCTACTACTTATAGTGTACATGCAGAATTATTTCAATTTAAAATAGTTTTAAATGCTCACACACATACCTGACTCTGGTGCTGTATTTTCCTCTCGTTTCTTTTTAATTTTCCGTTTCGAAGCACCTGATGAATGCTTTCTCTTTGACACTCAGCGACAGAATCAACAGACAGAGGCAGCAACGCAGATTTGAATCTGCCAATCAGATCAATCTATTGCTGGAGAGGGGGGGGGGGCTCCCCGAAATCAGCCGGAAGTGGCGCATTCGAATACTGTTTGGGCTGTCTGCCGTGGATGGGCTGCGTTCCACTCCAAATAGCCGGTCGGCCGTAATATATGCATAGATATATATGCGTGCATATATTCATATATATATGCGTGCATATATGCATATATATATATTTATATATATATATATATATATATATATATATATGAATATATATATGCGTGCATATATGCATATATATATGCGTGCATATATGTGTGTGTCTATATATATTTATAAACTGTATATTATTTTCCATCATTCAATGGACAATTTGTACTTTTTTTATATGTAGGCTACCATCAAACATATGTTCATATATAAAGTGGGTAACTATACAAAACGAAGTGAGATAACTGTTTATGAATATCTGTTCAATTTTATGTAAACTCATGAAAGATAAATGAGTGTTTCAATAAAACTATTACATATAAATGTATAGTGCAGTTTTTGTTTTCATTGCAATATATTTTTTTTATATGTATCAATATATAGCCATACATGGTCCATGCATATATTGCAATATATTTAAAAATATAAGGACTACTTTCCCATATATGGAAATGTATGATCCAATATATTGTATTATATTTACCAATATATTACAATATATTTTTGTTTCATAAGGGCTAACATCAACTGTTTCTATGTACATGTGGGCGTCTGACAGACCTGTCCTTTGAAAAAGTGAACCATAGGAACATGTCAGCCACAGCCGGCTAACTTCACTAGAGCAGCAACAAGTTAGCAACGAGCTAACTGCATTTGGAGAGATAACAGGCGGAGCGACTGATCTCTGTATTGTAGACAACTTACAACAGCTCTGACGATTCAAACCACTGCCTTTTGTAAAATATGGAGAACACAAGCAGACACCTTCATACACACACTTCACCCTTCACACACACACTTCACCCTTCACACACATTTCAGCCTATTTCAAAATGTTGAACTGACATTCATCGAGAAGATACTCACAGTAGATACGGAGACCCATGATGGCTAACAGTATGATCCAACACACTGCTATTGGAAGAAAGAACCTCAAGCCTGAAAAACAAGCATTCAGTTAAAAAACCTTAACAAAGGTTTCGAAAGGTTTCAAAGGTTTTAAAGTCATATACACAGATACAGTTTAGTCTAAAAACTGTGGTCGCAGGTTGGTTAAAAAATGCAACATAAACATATTTATAAAAATAGTGCAAGCTCAGGAGTTTAGCTTTATCTTAACACCTAAAATAATTTAACAGGCTAAGCTAATGCTTTCAATACATTATAAACACATCACAAAAATAGCTTAGCAATTGTAACCTTTGTCACTATGTCACTGTTTTACCTTTATGTTTTTTATTTTCTATTAAATAGTGCAATGTATTGATCATGCACCTGGAGGGGATGCCTTTTTATCCACGGTGCCTTCTGGTGCAGCTTTTTTTTTGGTGTCCTCTGAAAAAAACATAATGTATTTAACAGCATTTACCTTTTTAACTTTTTAATGCTATTTTATTTCTATTTCAGAAATATTTTGGACTGTTTATTTCTTGTGTCTTAATTTCTCTTATGTACATTGCCTTGTTTTTTCTGCTGCTGCAACGTAAACATTTCTCAATTTGGGATCAATAAAGTACTTCTCTATCTATCTATCTATCTATCGTTAACTCCCAATATGATCAAACTTCAAAAACCATTGGACAAAAGATGGATTTTATAATGGCTATCAGCAAACACACTGCTATTGGTGGAAAATACATCGAATAATAGGGGCCTCTGGCCTGAGTAATGTAACTGAAAAACACGAATTAACAGTTAATTAACAGTTAATATAAAATAAAAAGAGCTGATTTAATATTCACGTTTTTAACCTTCATCCCTATTTTATGTAAATAATATGACTGTTAAATAAATCTCATGTTTACTTGTTTACAGCTCACCTGGACGCGTTGCCTTTTTATCCGCAGGGCCTTCTGGTGCATTCACATAGTCAGCTTCTTCTGTGATTTCCTCTGGAAGATAAACACATACTGTTTCATCAGATATGCAGTTTCTCTCCCATTATGTTCAGCACGCATGAGGAACCATTTCACTAAATGATGGAGTTTATAATCAAACTCAACGATGTCAAATGAGTTGCCGTCACGCAACGAACAGAAGAGGGAAGCAGAACTAAAAACACACAGAGAAGTGTATCATGCTGACTTTTTATAACGAGATTAAAGACCAATTAGAAAAACTCATTGAAAATGGAGCACATTTTGTATTTAGTACAATAGTTCATCATGTGTGGTTAACATATTGATAAACTACAAGCTTCTTCCTTAATTTACTTTTTTTTTTAAATCCCTAAATGCATTAAACATTATGTCTCTATGTTCAGCAGAGTTGATCAATTATAATTTTAAAGATTCAATCTTAAATGGATTTATAATTTGGATATTTAAAAGAATGTGCTGCTAGGGAGTGGTCAAGCCTCAGAAGCAATTTACGCATATATGGTCATACATAGCAGAGCATGTTGATAAAAGCAAACAAAAACATATCATAGGTTGTATCTTAGACACAAACACACACACATCAACTCTGGAATATTCTTTAAATACCCATATCCTCGATTATTTGTCCTTTCGTCCTGAACTAAGTCCTGCTGCAGTCCTGATGAGAGCGTCTCTCTGATGTGACGGTTCAGTAGACTTCTGCTTCGAGGTGGAGATGGCATCTTTTTAATCTCCTGTTCTCATGTCATGTTGATACTTCCCAAATAGTTTCAACCGGAACTTGAAAACGTTCGGCCCTTTCACAGAGTTTTAATAGAGTCACACATCCCAAATATTGGATTTCCCAATAAAATAATCATATTAACTGCAATTTGGATCTCCATTGGATTTCTAGGCCCCAAAAACGTATGTTTAGTCACCAAAATGCTCTCAATGCCACTTCCTGTCCCTCGGGTGCTGATATGGACAGAGAGACTGAATATTGAGACCTGATCTCCTTCTATCTTATTTTCATAACATATTACATAATTGGCAATAACATGTTCGTCCTGACTTGATTAAAGCCTGATGTTCTCAAAATAAATTCAAAAACAACAATGTGTGGCAGCACATTTATTCACTGGTGAACAGAGTAAAACATGACATTTCTCATAGATAAAAATACAGATAGATAAAATGATCCGTCAGCTGTGCAACTAAACAAAGTATACATCATAATACTTGATGAAACAGACTCTGGAACATTGTATTGAGAACAAGTGATGCAGCGCCCTCTGTTGGCCGTTAGAAGCAATCAAATAAAATGGTCCATAATCTTTAAGAGTTTAAGCATTGCATCTCTAACAAAATAGAATAAAAATGTTCACACAAAACAGTACAACTATCTTAACCATCCATATCTGATACAAACACCATAACATTTTTAGAAATAAATAAATATTTGCATTAATTTAGCAAGCTCCATAGAAATTAAGTCAAAGTAAAAGTATATTGATTTTAAAATGATCCACAAAATATACGAGTTAACTTTTGTGTCGCATTGTTTATTTTAAGTTCATGCAATGTTTATGTAATCGAGCCGTAACAGAAAAACTATTTGATCCGCCCAGACTGATAAAAACACCATAAAGATGTTAAGGAAATAAATAATTGCATTCTTTTGAGTGATTATATTATATTAACCTGTTAAGCACCAAGCCTGTTTTTCATGTTTCAGGCTCGAAAATGACATGCCCAAAACAAATGACTACAACTTAACTTCTAAAAGGGTTATATGAATAATCTCTTTTATCAAAGCAAGGTTACATCTGTGAGTTGGATGTAGAAGTGTCAGAATCAATATAGATGTTTTTTATTTTAAAGAAAATTCAGATTTTACATAGTAAAAAACTGTAAATTATAGTGTCCGTCCAAAAATTCTTTTTTACAGATAGTGAAAACTACCCTTGGATGATGGGTTAGTAGACTAAAAGCTTTAGGAATCCAAAGTACAACATATAATAAGTACCCTGTATCAAAATTGATGCAAAACAAGTGACATTTGACCTTTTTAGAGAGGTTTAGCCAAAACCACCCCACCTCTGAGGTGATTTGGGTGACAATGTTTTTTTTTCCATATCTCTGGCCCCCCTTGGTCGATTTGGATGGTTGACACCTCTTTCTGACCGTTAGAGCCAATAGAATCGAAGGGGGAGGCCCCCACACACATACGTTGTGAAGAGAAAAGGTGGGGGCTGCGCGCATGTAATTTTGCGTCAGAGTGGACCTATCTCTAGCTCTGACATTTGGAAACGAAAAAGCAGTTTTATTGCTTATGGATTATCAGAAATCATTTCAAAGAGGACACAGACACATTGGATTAACCTATGGATTAACTGCAGCATCGTTTTTTTATCGTTTTAATGCCATTGAAGACCAGTTTTGACCAAGGTAAGCCATGTTAGCGTTTCTAGCTACCTAGCTCCACATGTTATGATGTACGCTTTCGTTTATAGCGTCGCTATGTGGCACTTCTGGCACCCCCAGATTCTGTGTCTCCAGCTGATGCTAATCGATGGGTTTGCTGTGCATCTAGGATAAGTAATAAGGGAGTTAGGAGTGAGTTTAGGTGCAGAGATAGGTTACATTTTTTCGCTCGTGGATAATTCAGAGGCTGAGTGTTAGCATTGTGAGGTTTTTTTGGGAAAAAAAATTAAAAAGATCAGTTAGCTGAGTTTCTTCCCGTTACATGGATATAAAACATTCACGCTCAGGGAAGCACGGCATTCGTTTGTGTCGGAGGCTGTTAAAGGCAATGTGAGCGTCCATTCCCATTGGATAACGGAGAATTGTACACCCGGAAGTAAGTATTCCCCTTACTGTCGATTGATTTGACAGTGATATCTCCACTACTCATCAACTCAAAAACACCAGATTATCCTTGTTAATTAAATGACATTGATAGGTTTTAGTGTGTGTACAATGCTTTTGTCACGTTTTCCCCTTCAATTCTGAGAAACAAATCGTTTTCTATGAGTTTTGGATGGCCGAAGACATTACATTACCCACAATCCTCTGTACCAACCATAGACTGTATAAAAAAAACAGTAGGTGTCCCTTTCTATCAGCTGTGCACCGTTATGGCGTAAATACAGCCTATCTACCAATTGGATCAAATATAAAAGTCAGCCAAATTAGTGTTGATACTGCAAGGAGACGTATTGTGTGAAAAGAAATGTAAGATGTTGTTTAATTGCTTATATATTCAAGTCAAGTTTTCAGTTTTGGTGGCAGATCCAAAAGTTTTGTCATTGATTGCTGCCTGGAAAACAGAGAGAGTTGTCAGATATTTAAACATTAAACTGTAATAAACACATAATGACCTAAAGACCCAAAGTGTGTTCAAACCTACACAAAACACAATTACTTTCTTAATTGCGTCATATTAATGGGTTTACCTTTTCCTCTGAATCATGAGCAACAACCAGAACTGAATTCATTCCTTTGCAGTCATCTCGAGCTTCTTCCCAGGTTTTTCGATTAGGAGGCTGAGCGTTATTATACGCATAGCAGCTGGGTTGAGTGAGATTCCAGCCCTTCTGACAAGCTTGACACTTTTTATCTGAAACAACAGAGTCCAAACAATCAACATCATGACTGCAGTATGAAAATATTGTAATAATGACCTAATATATAGGATCTGAACATACCGGTATTTCCTAAGCAGTAGGAATCGATGCTCCACTGAGCTCGACTGACGTTGAGCTCATTCCAGTTTGTTGTCATGTCTTGTATTTGCTGTTTCAAGTTCTTCTTCTCAGTCTCCAGCTCCTGGTTTCGTGTGTTCAGCTCCTGGACTCCTGCAGACAGGTCTTTGTTGTTGCTCTCTGAGACATTATAGGCTTGTGTCAGGTTGCCCAACTGGTCCGCCAGATTCTTGTTGTCCCTCGTCAAGTTTGCATTCTGTGTCTCCAGCTCCTGGATTCGTGAGTACAGCTCGGCATTGTTTCCTGAAAGTTCAGAGGTCACTACAGAGACAAAGAGAGGAAGGTGTTGGGCTGTAAGGCTTGTGTCTTTGAGTGTTTTAATATTCTTGATAAACATTGAAGAATGGGTTCACATGTTTGCTTCACATAGCAAAGAGCTAAATGCATTTGGAAAGTGACTGGTCTCCTCTGTATTGTAGACTTCTTACAACAGCTCTGACATTTCAAACCACTGCCTTTTGCAAAATATGGAGAACAGGAAGACACCTTCACACACACACTTCACCCTTAACACATATTTCAGCCTGCTATTGCAGAATCTTTGCAGCAAACGAGAGGGGAGATGTTGTTGGGTCAACAGACAGAGTTACAGAGCTTCAGGTCACATCTAATACAAACTGTTGAACTGACATTCACACAGAAGATACTCACAGTAGATACGGAGACCCATGATGGCTAACAGTATGAGCCAACACACTGCAATCAGAAGAAAAAACCTCCGGCCTGAAAAATAATAATTCAGTTAAAAACCCTAAACAACATGACAGTCACAGATGCTTAGGATACATTTAGAACAAAAAGAGACAATTCAATATTCACACTTTCAACTTTCTTTACTCCCATTCTTTAACACTATGATTGCTGCATAAATCCCATTTTTGACAATATTAAATGAGGATTGTTTTGTGTTCATAATGCACCTGGACGGGTTCTCTTTTTATCCACAGCGCCTTTTGATACATTAACATAGTCAGCTTCTTCTTCTTCAATTTCCTCTGAAAGATAAACACATTATTTATATTTTAATGCAGTTTTACTCCCAGTGTGTTGAGCATCCATGAGGAACCATTGTACTGAAAGGTGGATTTTGGGATTAAATCAATATTTAAAAACAGTTGCAGTTATGTAAGGAATCAGAAGCAGAAGTCAACCACGCACTTCTACATAGAAAGATAAAAATGTGTTAAGTCTTAATGTATGAGTAACGTTCATCTCCAGTCACAGATATTAATCTAAAGCAGAACTAAAAACCACACACAGAGAATTGTTCGGTTCTCACTCTGACTTTTTCTTTAAAATTACAAAGACATTTATTTCTGCTGAAACTAAAAACCATTAGACAAACTAAAATCAGATTCATTTTAAATAATCAAATTGATTTTGTCATAAGAAGATGTTGATACATCACCAGTTTCTTACTCAATTTATTGAGAGAAACAAATGCATTGAATTTATAATTCTGTGTTTATCAGAGTTTGAAAATCACAATTTTAAAGATCACATTTGAAATAAATGTTGTTATTTTAAACCCTTTGTGGCTCAGATCTGGTCACGAATCAGAAACACTATGAATAGGAAAAAATATAAACAATGTCTCGGTAAAAGAAAAAAGCAATGTTTTACACTCACACACATACAAATTAGAATATATTGAATTACCCATTTCCTGCTGAGTTCTTCTGTTCATCGTGGACAAGAGTCTGAAGTCCTGCTGCAGACCTGAAGCTGTCAGAGAGCGTCTGCTCTGATGTGACGCTCTTTAGTCGACTTCTACTCTGAGGTTATGGTGGTAAGTTTTAATGTACGTCAAGGTCACGTTGCAACCTATCGAATAGTTTTGACCTTATTCGGCTTGATTAACGTACTGATAACTTCGACGAGCAATATGAAAGAAAACGACAAGGACAAACACTTTGTCTCCTTATAAAGCCCTTCTGTGCTCTGATTGGCTTTCAGTAAAATGATGAAGTACATTTTTAGTAGTAGCAACATTTGTGATGTACTTTACTTACTTACTTAACTGAGTATTTTTAATTTTCTGCTACTTCATACTTCCACTCCACTTATCAGATATGTTATATTGTTATATGTGAAGAAGAAACTCACAAGATATCTAACAGTATTTCAATCAGGAGAGACGGTTTTGATAAGAATACATATTTATTGCCAGGAATACACAAATGAATGTAATGGAGTTTTGGCGATTAGGCCCCGTTGTGCAGGAGTATCATTCGGGAGGGGAGAACCGATTCGATGAAACCCCCCGGGGTCTAGACACTGGTGGTGGTGAATGGATAGTTGGGGTCGGTCTGAAGGGGAGTGGCTTAGCTTGACCCTGGTGGTGGTGAATGGATAGTTGGGGTCGGTCTGAAGGGGAGTGGCTTAGCTTGACCCTGGTGGTGGTGAATGGATAGTTGGGTCGGTCTGAAGGGGAGGGGCTTAGCTTGACCCTGGATTCAGAGGGACAGGAGGTGAAGAGGGGTGGAGGAGGGTTGCGTCGAAATGACAGCTGTCAGAGGGGAGAGCAGATTTAAAAGGGTTAGCAGAGCGCTATGATAGGCTTCTGAAAATAGAGCGAAGTGATTGGTTAAGCTGGGGAGTGACGCCCCCGATCACTTATTGAGAGGAGAGAGAGTAGTGACATAGAAATAGTAAATGAATGAGTAAAGACGGTCTTCCTGGTTGAACTTGCGCTGAGCTTCATATAGTTTAAAAACGACTCAATCCTTCTGTTTCAGCTGCAACATTGAAGTGATTAATAAATATGTCAGGGAAGTGACACAGAGACTTGGACTCATCTGCACGAATCCACACAAAAGTACAAAAATAAACTTTAGTAATTTTGGCAAAGGCAAAAAATCAAAGACTAACTGAATGTGGCTCTATCAATCACAGTGGCTGAAAAACACACAAATGCTGTGAAAGTCAAGAGCTCTTGAAAAAAGATCCTAGTACTAAACTCCTGGTACTAGGATGGGTTAAATGCAGAGGCCACATTTCACTGTGTGTGCTGTGTGCTCTGCATGTGTGACCATTAAAAGAGGGTTTCATCCCTCCCCATTCTATAAGAGACGGAGGGGTAAATAAAACAGGAAGTGCAATGACAGACGAGACAAGACACAGTAAATGAACACGTTAACAACGAGACATGACTAAACCCTAACCCTAAACATGGGCTATGAACTAAACATGAAACCTTTAGGATAAACCTGATAACGAACACCTAAACATGACGTTAGTAACAAGAACTAAACATGGCAAAATGAACAGGCTGAGCGTGATGTTACAGAATAAACACTAAGTATCTTTGCTTAAGTTTGGGTGTCTGTTGCCTACCATGGGCTTGTTTGATGGTCAGAAACAGAACAACAGCCAAACATATTTTGACTTTAATGTAAAACCAGAAAAAAAGACTGGAGCTTCATTTGATAAAGATAAAATACACAATATGATGCTTCCTCAGAGACCTTGACACACCAATCCCACAACCACAATGTTTGGCAGCGTTTGTCACCTTAGTTTTTGCAGTTTTTCATTCGATTCAATTCCACTTCCTGTCCCTCTCTGAAACTCTGCAGGTGCTGATGTTGACAGAGTGACTGAATATTGAGGCCTGATCTCCTTCTATCTTATTTTCATCCAAATGTTTGCACCATGAATAAGATTGTTCGTCCAGACTTGATTAAAGCACTGATGTTTTCAAGAAAAAGACAAAACAACAATGTGTGGCAGCACATTTATTCACTGGTGACAACAGAGTAAAACAAGACATTGCTCATAGATAGAAGTACAGATAGATAAAAATCATCCATAAAGTGTGCATCATCAGAATAGTATCAGGGACAGTTTCATCCCACTGGCCAAAAGACTATTAACCTGTTAAGCCCGAGAGACCCCGGGACCGGGGCACTGCCGCAACATCTTGCAGGAAACAGTGTCTGAGGGCATGTTCATTTAATAAACTATGAATGTTTTATATCCATGTAACGGGAAGAAACTCATCTAACTGATCATTTTTATTTATTTTTCAAAAGAAAACCCACAATGCTAACACTGAGCCTCTGAATTAGCAACGAGCGAAAAATGCTAACAGATTACTGCACCGAAAATCACTCACAAAACCTTATTATTTATCTCTTCTCCACATCCATGACATCGATTCACATCGTGAGGTGACACAGAATCGATGGGTACCCTCATTATCACTGAATTATACGAATTTGCGACGTTATAAACAAAAACAGACATCAAAACAGGTGACGCTAGGTAGCTAAAAATGCTAACATTTTTACCTTGGCTCTGTAGTCTCTCCAAAGTGGTCTTCAATGGCATTAAAACGATAAAAACGCTGCTGAAGTTAATCCATAGGTTAATCCAATGTGTCTGTGTCCCTTTGAAATGATTTCTGATAATCCATGAGCAAACAGACGGATAATCCATGCTTTTACGTTTCTAGATGTCAGAGCTAGAGTGTAGCTTCACACTAAAGCAAAATTACATGCGCAAAGCCCCCACCTTTTTGTTTCACAATGAGTGTGTGTGGGGGACTCCCCCTTCGATTCTATTGGCTCTCTAACGGTCAGAAAGAGGTGTCAACCATCAAAATCGAGCAAGGGGGGCCAGAGATATGGAAAATCCACCCAAACGACCTCAGAAGTGGTTTCTTTTTGCTAAACCTCTCTAAAAAGGTCAAATGTCACTTGTTTTGCATAAATCTTGATACAGGGTACTTATTATATGTTGTACTTTGGATTCCTAAAGCTGTTAGCCTACCTTACCATCATCCCTCTTAGGTGCCTTACAAACAATGGACGTCCGCTCTCGGGAGCGTCGGAGTGGTGCGGTCACCCTAAGTGACAGACCTAAAGTATCCGGGATTCAGGCATCTTCCCTGGCTTGTACATTTTTGGTGATGCGCCCTGGAGGTATCAGACTATTTTAAACAACTTTTCCCCGCCTTTCAAACACTTATTCCGGGGTTTTAGCCAGTCATTTTGCACGAAATCATTTAACATTGACGGTCTCCTGAAAAAGCACATATTCTGTGCATTTTCAGGAGAGCGTCTATGTTAAATGATTTCGTGCAAAATGACTGTCTAAAACTCTCTTCCAGACATTTAAAAATACTTTCCCCGACCATTTAAACATTATTTCTGGCTTGTAAAGTGCAGTTATGCGCCCTGGAGATATTGCACTATTTACAAAATGTAGCACTCTGTTTATTTCACACCTCCAGGAGAGACCAGGGGGAAATCACCTCTCTCTGCCCGCTCACAGAGCCCCGAAGGACGGACTAGAGACCTCCAGCACCAGTCCCTAACAGTGGGACTCTGTTTATTTCACACCTCCAGGGCGGAGACCGGGAAAATCACCTCTCATTGCCCGCTCACAGAGCCCCGAAGGACGGACTAATTACCTCCAGCATGGGCCCCTAACAGTGGGACTCTGCACCTCCAGCAGAGACCAGGGGAAAATCACCTCTCTCTGCCCGCTCACAGAGCCCCAAGGACGGACTAATTACCTCCAGCATGGGCCCCTAACAGTGGGACTCTGCACCTCCAGCAGAGACCAGGGGGAAATCACCTCTCTCTGCCCGCTCACAGAGCCCCAAGGACGGACTAATTACCTCCAGCATGGGCCCCTAACAGTGGGACTCTGCACCTCCAGCAGAGACCAGGGGGAAATCACCTCTCTCTGCCCCCTCACAGAGCCCCAAGGACGGACTAATTACCTCCAGCATGTCCCCATAACAGTGGGACTCTGTTTCTTTCACAGCTCCAGCAGAGACCAGGGGAAAATCACCTCTCTCTGCCCGCTCACAGAGCCCCAAGGACGGACTAATTACCTCCAGCATGGGCCCCTAACAGTGGGACTCTGCACCTCCAGCAGAGACCAGGGGGAAATCACCTCTCTCTGCCCCCTCACAGAGCCCCAAGGACGGACTAATTACCTCCAGCATGTCCCCATAACAGTGGGACTCTGTTTCTTTCACAGCTCCAGCAGAGACCAGGGGAAAATCACCTCTCTCTGCCCGCTCACAGAGCCCCAAGGACGGACTAATTACCTCCAGCATGTCCCCATAACAGTGGGACTCTGTTTCTTTCACAGCTCCAGCAGAGACCAGGGGAAAATCACCTCTCTCTGCCCGCTCACAGAGCACTGAAGGACGGACTCGAGACCTCCAGCATGTCCCCATAACAGTGGGACTCTGTTTCTTTCACAGCTCCAGCAGAGACCAGGGGAAAATCACCTCTCTCTGCCCGCTCACAGAGCACCGAAGGACGGACTCGAGACCTCCAGCATGTCCCCATAACAGTGGGACTCTGTTTCTTTCACAGCTCCAGCAGAGACCAGGGGAAAATCACCTCTCTCTGCCCGCTCACAGAGCACCGAAGGACGGACTCGAGACCTCCAGCATGTCCCCATAACAGTGGGACTCTGTTTATTTCACAGCTCCAGCAGAGACCAGGGGAAAATCACCTCTCTCTGCCCGCTCACAGAGCACCGAAGGACGGACTCGAGACCTCCAGCATGTCCGCATAACAGTGGGACTCTGTTTCTTTCACAGCTCCAGCAGAGACCAGGGGAAAATCACCTCTCTCTGCCCGCTCACAGAGCACCGAAGGACGGACTAGAGACCTCCAGCACCAGTCCCTAACAGGGGGACTCTGTTTATTTCACACCTCCAGGGCGGAGACCGGGAAAATCACCTCTCA